GCGTTACAGGTGGCAGTGCCTGTCCAGGAGCTGTGGATGTTGGCGGCAACTGCTGGGCAGATGATTTTGGTGGCATGTGCGGCAAGCCAGCCAAGCTGGCACTATTGAGTGTCATCTGGTTAATGCCGCCCGGTACGTTTTGCGGCATGGTTGCAGCTGCCGATGTTGGCTGAGCCATGTTGGATGCCGCTGATGTGGGCGGAAACATCGACGGCGCTGGCGACGGTGAGGGACCTGCTGCAGCAGCAGAAACTGGCGGAGCCGGAGACGGGGACGGACCTGTCGAGCCGTTTGCATAAGCTGCAGCGTAGGCATTGTTATTGTTGTTAAAATTCATGCCTGAACTAGCCGGGGGCATGGGCTGCGACGTTGGCGGTGCGTTCGAGTTGAATTGATTAAACGGGCCCGATGGTGCAGCGCCAGGAGCTCCACCTCCAGCAGTAGGCATGCCAATCGGTGGCTGCGAGGGCTTTAAGGGATTACCACTCACACTCAGGCCACTCATCGACGTGGTCAACTTTCAAAGGCAGCCAATGAAAGAGAACGAGAGAGACGGGGAGATATAGATAGACATAAAGAGTACTAAATTAACTACATGCTAAAGCAATTCAATTATGTGTACGCTCTTATCAGACAGCTTCCCATATGAAACACTACTTGACCTCTTTACACTGACTGCGACATGAGTAAGTAAAGGAAACATTATCGCCAGGGCCCATAAATTGAACTTATTATTTGTGGCAGTGGCGATTAGGCGACTTGGAAATAGAAGCTTAAGCTCACCTGCTGCTGATAGTTGCCGTTTACATAGGGTTGTTGAGCAGATGTCACTGGAGCACCATATTGTTGTTGTTGTTGTTGGATTGGAGGCTGCTGTTGTGGCTGTTGATGTGGCTGCTGTTGTTGCGGCGGTGGCTGCGATTGCAACGGTTGCTGTTGCTGCTGTTGTTGTTGTTGCTGTGATGGCCAACCCGTCGGTCCCCGTGGAGGCCCCGCTGGATATTGTGGTTGAAATTGTGTCGGCGGTGGACCATACATGTTTGGATTCATTTTTTTATATATTGGCCTGCGAGCAGCGACTCAATATGAGCACATAAAAACGTAGCAACAACTTTCACACACACACAACACACTCTAATTGCAGCTCAAAGTTCGCGTTCTCGTTTTCACGAATTCGAACGATTTCAAACGTTGTTTCGCTGAAATTTGGGCCTAGATGGGTTGTCTAGCGTTTGTTGTGCAATTTTTTGCAGCTTTCGCTGGGTATGAGCGCACAGGTAACGCAGTTTTTAACAAAACTTCCAAGCAAAAACGAACTTCCACGTCAGTTCGCTAATTCGATTTTTTTTCTGCCACTTATTAGTTACATTTGACAGTTTGCCACGTAAAGTTGTCGCCTGTGCGACATATATCGATATTTTTCACAGATGTGCATTGCTAACGATGCTTTCGATATGTTGTGCGATGTTTTTTTTAAATACATACTGTAAATGTGATAGATAAATCGCAGAATTTTTAATTAAAAGTTATTTTCCATTCAAATTAAATAAACTATTATTTATTATGACATGAATCTGTGCTCAGGAATATTCAATTGCAGAATATAATTTAAACCATTGCAGTTGTCGCCATGTAATAAAAATAGTTGTGTATTGATATATCGATACCTAACTACTAAAAATACCGCTGCACAAATAATCATTGCCACTCTGTTATTTAGTTTACAGTTATATTTGAAATGTCAGCAGAAATGTAAAATCGAATATTATTTATGACAATTAATTTCGTAGAGTATTTACATGCATTGAGTGAATTGACTCACTAAAATATGGGCGATTGGTCGGTTGATTGTTAGTTTTATATTGTTTTTTCTCGAAACGCACAGTTGACTGAATACCTTCGAAAAACCGAAGACCAGTATGTCGTTCAATCTCGGCAATATCACAGAGATAATCTGTCAATACGGTGCTGGTGCATGTTGAACTAAGTTTATTATCTATTATGTATCCTTCCATATAGGGAGTACACTCCGGCAGCGGGGGATCAATAATAAGCACCTTGAAATAGTGCGAAGGCATTGGCAATGGAATCCAATCGACAATTTGATATTCTAAACTCCAATCCTCGCCAGGCCGACAACACGGCAAATACATAGGACCCGTATAAACATACACTGAATCGTATTTCTCAGTCATTTGGGAAACATGTTCTTCTAGCTTCCGCCAAATTTCCCGCTTAAATGCTTTGCAAACGCGTGTGGCTCCGCAGCTCAGCACATAGACATCATTGTAGCGGAGGTGCAGGGCATCGCCGTCTCCCTCGGTTGTTAGTTTCCTATAGTTGCCCTTCAAATGCTCACACATCCATTTGGGAGCATTGGTACTTAGGTCTTGCGACACCACATAGTCTTTGTGCACATACAAATTCTCCATGCTGGGCAGGCCATATTTGATTAGATCCAGCAAATCGGGCGATATCGACTCTGGCCTCTTATCGAAAAAGATACTGTTAACCATATCAAATAGCGCATATATCAGACGATCGCGTATTCTGCTTGTCAGACATTTGGAACGGTTCCACAATCTGGCCTCGTGATCCGTTCGAAATGTGGACACCTAAACAGGGAAAAGACATTGATATTGATATTATTCATGCGGAGCTATATCAAAATATATAACAATATACCTACGAGTGGGTATAGTTTTCGTCGATGATGAAACACGTATGGATCAGTTTTGATCATCCAGAACAATTGGCGAATCGCACTCTCCTGCTGGAAATAGGCACCGAACACGAATCCCGTTAAGCCCGCCAGCGCATAGAACGCACAGCTCTGGGCCCCAGGATCTACAATATGTGACATAATGGAATGCAACTAATCTATTTAGGTAACTATGTCTTTTAGTGCCACCTATTTACTATTAATTTTGTGTGGGTTTTTACAGATCTCAATAAACAAGTGACAAATGTTAATGATATCATAGCCTACTAATTTCTGAAGGAAATATACATATATGATGTTTCATATTATAATTAATATAAACTTTTTTAATTTTTTTTTTTTTTTTTTTTTTTTTTTTTTTTGTTTTTGTTTTAGCCTGCTTTAATCGAGTTAAAAATGATTTTCCCAATCTGTATTCCTAATTATCGAAACCAATAATCGTTGGGTCTGTCTTAAGCCAAGGATTGATTTAGGATAATTTATATGTACTAAACATTATTTTTAATTTTCATTTTAGTTCCACAGGAAATTTATGCAAATTCTCGAAAAACTTTCGATTCACTTGGATAGTTGCTGCCAAAAATTGCACTTCGGCGTATGCCCTGAAAGAAATGAAGCCCTGCAAAGTGTTCAATCTCCCGTATATCACAGAGAAAATCGCGTAGGGTCGACTGATCCGGTATGGGCGCATTGGGCAGCACATACGCCTCCATATAGGGCTTACCCAAGGGCAGCCTCGACTCCACCATGATCACCTTGAAGAAGTGTGTGGGCACTGCCACCATATTTTCGCCAATCATTTGGTACTCCACGCTCCATTTACGATTGCCCTGTGCCCGAGGCTTAAACAACGGACCGGTGCACACATATACCGAGCCAAAACTCTGTGTTAGCTCCCTAACGTAGATCTCTAACTTGTTCCAGGCGCCGCTATTGAAGCCCTGCCCTATTTGTGGCGCTATGTTGGTCAGCAAGAAAGTTTCATTGCAGTGCACTTGTTGGCCTCGATGATTACCAGCGGCCGCCAGATGACCACGATCGAAGCCCGAGTGCTTATAGTCGGCGAGCGTTGAACGAAAGTTCGAAGGCACACTCAGATCTGCACGATAGGTGGCGCTAGCGCGGCCAACGCCCCGTGCACCCTGCAAATTGGCCAATTGCAAGTGCTCGCAGACCCAATGCGCCACGCGATTCCGTCGATCGTAGGACAGAACGAAGTCACTGTAGAGCCTCACATCATCCAGGCCCGGAAATCCATACTTCATAATACGCTGCACATGATTCGGCGCTCCCTTCGGGATGTTGAAGAAACCGAACTGCGGATCAGCTCTTGCATACTATGATTAACATTGATTAACACTCAATTTGACTAGCATACCGCGGCGAAGATCTTTGGACTGATATAGTAGGCGTAGACATCCTGTTGCACGAGCTGTTGCAGTTGCCGTGTTGCATGGGTGTGTTGAAAGTAAGCACCAACCAAAAAGCAGCCAACTGCAGAGGCCAATCCAAATGCCACGCCCAGCAGGTGCCAAAGGCGTCGCATGAATAATAAAAATAGAGCAAACTGTAAATTTTGGTTTGTAGTGATTCTGGAATATTTATACAGAGTTACCTGCGATTTCCCTGTATCCTGAGCTCAAAAGGAAATTAAATAAATGCCCAAACTAAAAAAGAAATATAAAATAAATACGAATATATATATGTAATACTTAAAAAAAATAAATATAAAAAATAATAATAAATATATATAATAAATAAATAAATATTAAAATTAATGAATACAAATTAAAAATTATAAATAATAATGAAAAATGATAAATAAATAAATGAATTAATTAACTATTCCAGCTTTATTTACAGTGAAAGCTAATTTTACTTGGGCTATTGGACATCTGAAGCCAAGGATCTGACCTTAAACTTCCTCAGAAACTTTAAAAATTACATATACAAATAATTCACTTTTCACTGAAGTCGAATGGTTGAATTGCAAGTTATCCTCACAAGTGATAGAATTATGGTCAATAGAAGACATTGCACTGCCCATTGTAACGTCTAGAGCAGGCGATGCAGAGTACGGCCAAAATGAACTGCAATGTAATGCATTTGGCAAGTGACGACTGTTTTGATTGACAGATGGAAGGGCCACAAGGACATGGCTAGGATGCATAATGCATAATGCGCTTGCACATGGACGTTGCGAGACCTATAAAGGGGGAATTATTATTGAATTGCCTCCTGTATTTGGCGGCGTTATGAAGATTTAACAAATACATTATTTCTTTAATCAATACTCTGATTTACGATTTATTTTAAACAGATTCCCGACTGTGACAAACTTTGGGGGTATTGCACCCGACTCACTCCCCCAATCACCCCTCGCGTACGCCATGCACATCACGAACAGCAGTGTCTACATCGAAAATGCCATTAATGGCTCTTTGCGGGTGTACGCATAATTAAGCTCGTCAAATTGTGGCTGGGTTTGGATGCTGTGAATGTTGTCTTAAGCGGCTCCAATTAGCCAATTGTTGTTGTTGGCGATGATTGGCCTAACGGATGATTGGCTTAACTCCTCGTTGCGCCTGATTACAACAGGTTGGCTCTGCTATCCTGATATACATCGTACACTTCACATATTTATATCAGTTATGTGCGGCTGTTCTTATTACTTGCTTTGTTGTCCATTTTTCAATCAATACTTATATTTTTGTTGGCATTTGCATGAAGGGTAAGCCCATACCTCGACCCCACAGCCATTTTCCATACCCTCACGCAGCGCATGAAAAAATTGCAAACCAAATTTCATTTTTGTCCCGTGGAGCTGCAGATAAAACAGAATTCGCACTACAAAGTGCAGAGAGCGTAAAGCTCCCAACCCCAGGACCAACTTGAAGCAAGAGAGACAAAGATAGACATAGAGATAGAGAGAGAGAGAGATACAGAGAGAGTGAAAGAGTAAGGTGCTTTCCAGTCGATTTAATGGCCAAACAGCGGTCACATCCCGCACAAAGGCAAACAAACGGCGTCTGGCTGTCACTTAATCGAAGCCATTAGCGTTATTAGTGCAAGAACTCCATAAACTGCTGCGTCTACTCCCAGGCCTGACTGGCGGCCAGGTAGAGGGCAAACAGCGTCTGTATATTGTGTATGTAATCCGATTGGGTTTCCAGTGGCCCCTCTACACCGAAGTGTTCGCACAGCGTCCGAACGTAATCGACCAGCGAGATTTGTTGCTGCAGACAGGCGCGATAGGCCTCGTCGACAGCCTCCTTGCTGGCTGGGGTGCCAAAGGAGCGGGGCCAGTTCTCCAGCAGGGCGTCGATGTCCTTTCTGGGCTGTGCGTCGTACATGGATTGCGTCATGTGGACCTGCTCCACCTCGGCAATCCACTTCTCAATATCCTTGGCCGTCTTTGCGGTGGGCACCTGCGTCGCCGAGCGAGCGGCATGGCGCGAATTGCCGGCTCGGCTGCCGCTCAGCACCGAACGCAGCTTCATGTTCAGGAGGCTGGGCTCACTCTGTGCGCCGGATGGCTCGTCCAGCAGCTCGAGGCCCAGGCGCTGCAGCTGCTCATCCAGTTCGCGCTGACGCGGCGCCTGGGGCTGCAGCAGAGCCGGCGCCTGCACCTTCAGCATGGCATCCACATCGCCCACGGCGGGCACAAACTCCGGCACAAAGGGCTGCAGATGGTAGGGCGTGTCGATCGTTTGCGGCGTATACTTGAGTATGTAGGGAAAGAGTTCCTTCAGTTCCGGTTGCAGCGGCAGCTGCTCCCACTTATCCGGCGTCAGCTCAAACGTAGTCCCTTTCTCCTGCTCCCGCCCAGAGCTGGACCGCTGCTGCGTCTGTGGCTGGGGCAGTTTTTTTTGTTGCTGCAATAACTTGACGCCTGTTGCCAACTCTCCGGCTGCCTCATCCGAGCTACCAAAGCTGAGCTGGTCATCAGCCATGGCCATTGGCTGCACATTCCGTGTGCTGCCCGGGCGCGTCAGTGGCCGTGAACCGGACGCCGCCGTGCCGCCCAACTGCAGCTCGCTATCGTCATCATCGTCGTCGTCGTTATCGCTATCATCGCCCTCATCGTCGTGGTCAATGATGTCTTGCAGCAGGCCATCGTCGTCCGCGGAGCTGCCCTGCATTTGCTGCCAAACGGGTTTAGTATATTGTTAGTATATACCGCACATCTATATATAGTTCTCCCTGATTATTCTCCTACCATTTTCCGCTGCCTGCCTTCTGCCCGAGTTGCTGCTCCTCCGCTCGCCCGGCTCGACTGGCGCTCCATTGGCACCCTGCTCAGGTGTTTGCCATCCGCCGACCCACTGATTGTGATCTCTTCGTCATAGTAATTCATTTTCTAATTCCTTCCCTTACTGATGCTCTTCACCTTGATGTTTTTTTCTTTTTTCAGAATATAGCTTGCTGCGGATTCGAATTTTGCGTACTTCCGCCGAATCGCAAATTCACTTGCTACCTTTTGCAGGTGTTATGCTTTTCTTTTGCTTTACCTGCGCAAAGGAAAACAATTGTCAATTGTTTTGGGCCCATCCGTTGCCTTGACAACCAGCGCATTGCTGTTGTTGTTGTTGTCTGTTGGCCCGGCTTACTTACATGTATTCTGGCGAAACTCTCCTGCTATCCGTGCGGCTGTCCGGCGGAGGGAGCGTTAGCCATTGCTGGTCGGATTTAATTACATGAAATGGAAATCTGATTTTGCAATGCCCTTCCAGCACCTCGTCTGTTGCCGGCGACTATTGCGACTGTTGTGTATATTGTGAATACCTGCCTAATTAAATGAATGAATTTTTAGGCGTACGTAGGCCTGCTTTTATGACGACTGTTCATTAATGAATCTCAGTTTGGGTTTTCTCCAAATGGTTTTATGATCGAGCTAAGATTTGCATACGCTCAATTCAAATGCTAATTGTAACTGGCGTCTGTTCTAATGGCTCTAATGGCTGGTCGGGCTTAATGTCAGTGAAACCCCTTTTCTAGATGCAAATATTAAAATAAACATTGTTATTAATTTCGATATTCCATTAGAGCTCTCCGAAATACGTCTTGTTTTTAGATTATATTCTGAATAGATATTTACTATACTTAGGAGCTTAGCTTTGCTTGACATATGGAGCACAACTAAAATTATTTTTAAATTACAGATGAATATTTGAATAATATAGTCCAAAAAATACAAAATAAGACTATTTATTTATTTTATTTTATTTATTTATTTATTATTATTTTTTTTTTTTTTTTTTCAAATTAAAATATATAAGAAACGATTCATATGATTGAAAAATTGATTAAGGAAAATAAAGCGCCAAAAATAAAGTAATAATAATAATAATAGTAATGATAATAACAATAATATTAATATAGTATTTTATATTTATATACGTACATATATTTTTTTAATTCCTTCTCAAATTCTCTAGCTCAGTCCCCTAACCCTATTTACTACCGCCGTCCATGCGCGCATTGGAACCGCTCGAGCGCGTTGCGGCTCGATGTGGTTCGGTTTGACGTGCAACCACGCAACCGCAACAGACGTGAAAACACAACACAACAATTTTCGGCTTTCATTCGGTTTTGGATGTTCGCGCTGTGCGTTTAGTTGCGGCTGCTGCGTGTTTTAACGGAAATACCAAATTAAATAACGAAAAAATACGTTCAAATTTGAAGCTGTTTTTAAAATGCGCTAACAGAACAACAACAATAGTTATTAATGAAATATCAAAATAGATTTGAAAGTAAATAAAAAATTGTCGAGTGAATTATCAGGCTTGGAAAAAAATCGTTAAACCGTTATTCTCTTTAATAATTAACACTGATTACGCCGCTTTAAATACGCGGTAAATTTTGCATTTAATACGAAGTTAATTAATAGCGTCTTTATAACGCTCGGTGTGGCTAGACTTCATTAATAGCTGCTATCTCTCTCTCTCTCACTCTGTGCGTGAGTGTGTGAGTGTGTGTGTGGGTGTGTGCGCGTAAAGGTGTGTATGCCGCGCCTTGCGTCTGGCACAATTTTCATTATCAGACGCTAAAAGGATTACGAACCCGTTCATCTCCATCTTCAGCAGCAGCAGCAGCAGCATCCTTGCTTTCCGCTTAGCCAAATATTTGCGAGCATCCGCAAACGGTAAGTTGATGCCCCTTGACCAGCTACCCGCGCCCTCCCCTTCATCCAGACCCTGGCTGAACCTGCTGCTTTATGTGTTAGCTTTCACGCCTACCTCATAATTCCTATTGGACCTCCCCCCCGGACACACAACAAAATGTTTTACATTCGCGCACTGTTAAAAAGGGTTATGTCTGCCTCTGTCCCTGGCCCTGGGCCCATCCTCCCAGCTCTACCCACAGCCCCTCCGGCAGCCGGGTCAACCAAGTGTTGGCCGCATTGTTAGCTTAAACTGTGCTTTGTGCCGTAACTCGAAGCCTGCCCCCCAAAACTTGCGCAATAAAATGAAATTGTTTTGAATTATTGAGATCCGAGACTTGGGAGTCCTTTTATTTTGTTTTTGTTCTCATACCCTGCAAATGTGGCCGGCAAAAATAAAAAAGCTGGAAACAACTTTGATTCCATAGGGTATTTATTCTATCACATTAGTCTTACAGCTCAGTCGAATCATATTTTGAAGACGATTAAGAAATATGTCTGCCTGGAAATAACACAAAAAGAATTTGGTTTTGAATATTTCTTGTGTAATCATTTACAGGGCACCTTCAAGTCGATCATGCACCTGCTTAATATAATTTATTTTTGGCGCTTTTACGGTCAGCAGAGAGTTTTCATTGTTGGGTTTCGACTTGGGCTCCGCCACACATATGGAGAGTTTCAGGACTCGAATAGGTGTCTGGGGCATTAACAGTTAACATGTTGCGGTTTTTGATTGCTCCAAAATGGTGCTCGGTCTACACTTTTTTAAAAATATTTTTATTCGATTTGGTATTCGCACAAAAAAAGGTTCAAAAGGTTCGCCTTTTTTATGCACTGCGAAACAGTTTACGAAAATTGGATATGGTGCAGAAAGTTTATTGTCTGGAGCATAGCTTATCAATATATACATATATAAATATATGTAGAGAAAGAGACAGATGGAGAGTGGGAGAGAGTGCTTCTGCTTTTTCCATTCGAGTTTGATAACAACTGTTTTATGGACCGGGGTCAATGAACAGACATCGCTTCTGACATTCAAAGATACAAAGAAAATGTATTGGATAAATCAACGGCTTTGGCTAACGCTGATATAATAATAAAACTTGCATAGCATTCTATCAGCCAACAAATATATACATGTCAAGTTTTATTTAACAAATTTCTTTGAAGAGTTTATCAAAACAGAATATTCATTGTGATTTTTTCTTATATGAAATTTAAATTTCATCTGTTGTGGAATTTCTGTTATAAACATAAATGATAATGTGTTAGAACTGGGCTAATATATTCCTTTGCTTCTTAGTTCACAGTTGTCTTAGGAATTTACAAATATTTTTATCAGCATTATCTTCACGCTTTTTGTATTTTTTTTTTTTTTTTATAGACTAAGAGTATTTGTTTTTTTTTTATAGACTAAGAAAGACGATATTTAATCAATTTGTTTAATCAAATCAATAAGAAGAATAATACTGGTTTTAATATTATTTAATGTATCTTGCCTGTAGCCAAACTTGAATTCAATTTTAGCCATTTTCATGCAACCTTGGCCACAATCAATAGCAAACAGATTGAGCAATCTATCTACCTGCGTTATTGATAGCTGCGTTTCATTACAGTATCGAATCGAATAGATACGAATTGAATCAAATTGAATTTACTGGCCTCATGCTCGCGGTCAATTCTCAGCAGGTCGATTACATTTGGCATTCCCTGCCCATTTGATGAGCGGCTAATTAATTTCTATTCAAGTATATACATAGGTACATTGTACATATATGTATATATAAATATATGTCTACAGGCAAACTTCCTTAAAATGGCCAATATAAATGCCATTGCTTGTGGACGTTTTATTTGTATTTGCGGTCTGTTTTATTGTAATCTTTTATGGTGCAGTCCAATGTTTTGCCTCAACTCTCATAACTGCCGACCTACATATATATGTATATATGTATATGTACATGCTTGTGGTAGGAGCGAGCTTTATAGCGCCTAAAAGTGAACAGCACTTGCTGTCCACTTTCCATTTCATTGTCTCGTGCGCTTATCGCAGTCGTTGCTTTTGGCCTAAGCATTTTTGTGTCTGTTTTGCTTTGTCTCTTTCTTTTACTTTTGTGAATACCCTGTGTTCTGTGTCATTGGGGATAATTGGGTATTATGTCAGACTCATCTCCATCATTTGTCTGTCTTAATTCTGTTCATTTCTGCAGATCTTAACAAGTCTCAAAGTGAAAATTTCAATTCGACGCCATCTTTTTTTCATTTTAATAAATATTATCAATATTTCTACAGTAGCTATAAATTTTATACTCAAATTGAAACATTGCTTTTTCTTAATATTTTGACTATAGAGTATAGTTCCATTCATTTATTCATTCAGTTCTATAGTGATGAATGAAAAAACTCAACTCCCAGAGTTAAAACTCAAGTGAATGAAAACACAATTGTGTTGATGACTGATTACAGGGTATCTGGCAAGCGAGCCTTCCAGTTGAAGTTACTCCTACTTGAAGCTGTGTTAGTCTGTGTGTGAATAGGCTTAAGGATGCTCGCGCTGGCTGGCGCTTTGCTTGGGGTCTGGGATAATCATCAGCATGCGCGGCCATGTTCTCAAGTTCGTCGTCGTTTCAAGTTCAGCGAAAGTGAAACGTGTCGGGTATTTGGTTTTGGTTTTAGTGTTGGGGATAGGTTTTAGCTGAATAGGCTTAACGGCAGCGACGGTCCAACGTCAGGGGGAGCTATAAAAATAAAAATTGTTTGTGCCGAGTGGAAAGTTCGTTTGGCAATTTGAATTGAGTTGCAGTCTCAGTCACAGTCACAGTGGCACTCACAGTTACGCTACGACACACACACGCACACACTCTTACACACATACACAACAAAGGCAAACGGCAAAGTTTTCAAGACCCGTCACAACACATAAAGCGATAAGATGTCAAGCAGTAGGCTCGAATTATGTTTGACATTTTCAGCCAGATTGGTTTTTATTTAAATTAGTTTCGAATACATGTTGTAGGCCTAGAATACCAGCTACCCAGCCCCGATCCACAGCTCATGCTCCCTATATGCTCGCTGAAGTGTAAAAATAAGTTTAGAAAAAAAAAACGAACAGAAAATAACCAAAACAAATTGATTTGTGTGTTTTTCTTACGCTTTCTGCTGAGACTTGCGAAAAAGTTTTGAAATAGAGTATAAATAAAGTGTATTATAATGAAGTTGAACTTCATATTGGTATATTCAATTATATGTATATGAATTGCCACGAGAAACAAGAAAGAAATCTCAAAATTTAACTCAAGCCAAGCTATACATATTATATTAAACATTTTAAAATCATATTAATAAGTGTAAAATTAAAAAACAAAATTAAAAATTGTATCATGTACTATATATGTTTTACATGCATTAATTAATATAATGATCAAACTAAACTTTAATCCATGTATATTTATATGCTGAGTACCTTTTTTTTTATTTATGTGAGGGTATCCAAATAGAGTCTATTATCGTTGGTTTTTCCTGTTTTTATTTATTTTTCATTTTCATGTCCAACTGCTGCCTCAGCTGTTGTTCATGAGCTTTGATTGAGTTCCTTGAAAGTTTGCCAGCTATATGATATGCCATAAAAATAATAAGCAAAATCAGTTTCAGTTGCCGACTTTGAGACTCGGATTTCAGCGCGGTCTCTCGATGACAAATTACAAATAATCGCTTGTTTGCAATTGAAAATATCAATACTGAAGGCTGTAGAGCATTTCGGTTTTATTTCATTTATTTTTATTTTTTAAATTTATTTATTATTTTTAAATATATTCTCAAGCGTAACGAGCGTACGTTGAGTCTAGGCTGTGCTCGAATTTATTTTAACCTTTATCTGTTTCGTTATTTACTGCACAAGTTGTCGCTAAATGAAATGCAAATAATTGTTTAGCAAGTGATGTGCCACAAACCGTATAAATATGTTAAAAATAAATTCCGTATTTGCTCAAGTGTCGCCATTGTTGACAATTGTAGGATCCACAGGAGAATAAATGCCGGCTTTTGACCTAAATTAAGTAACCTCGTTGACTACAGATCTCTGTAACTGAAGGGCGCACGAAACCAATATGCCCCAGTTGCACTGTGCAAACAGAGCATAATATTCCTTAAATTTAAATCCGTCCAGCACTTTAGATAAGTCTGCAAATTACACTCCATTGGGTGCGAACATCATGAACAATGTAAATGCCAGACAAAGTTGGGAGTCTGCTTCCGATATTAACATCTCTATATAAATAGCCTCACATCATCGTACATCAACTGAGCTGTCACTCTGGCTTAGCTAATACCTCGAGTGTGCCACATCATTAATGGAGATTTGTTTGACCAACACCTGAGACGGAGGCGCCACTTGGCCGATAAAGTATTTATTTATTTCCTTTAACTTTAGCTGGCGGAACAATCAATCTCATTGACAACGAACCCCCAACAAAAATATTATTAATGTTGTTGTTGTTGCTGCTGTTGTTGGGTCTGCGACTATGCCTTGATAGCTTCATTGGCAGCTTTTGTCATATGCATAACATTTCATTGGAGTTTCGTTTTTCCACTGCCTTTACCCAATGTTAATTTTGATAAATGATACAACTTATATTTTCCGCTACGCTGTGGCTCATCCACTGATGAGTTCGTTTTTGTTGTCGTTGACAGGAATTGTATGTGAGAAAATGAAAATCGTGGACTTGGTTGAGGAGCGCTTGTAAGCCAAAATTGATTTGATTTTTAAAGCTCTACTTTAAAAGATGTAGCTTGATTTTTGCCCTTAAGACTTTCTAAAAAAATAATTGCATTTCTTTTAGAATTCATCTTTAAGCTGCACTCTTCATTTACAAGCAGCTGGTAGAGCCCATTGCTGGCTGAAAGTTTTCACAAAGTTTTTTGGCGTTCAAGCAGAGAGGCGGGAAATTCTCTTCTAGCGTAAGCCAACACCAAAACAAAGCACT